AGTTGTGTATCTTTCAAACATTTAATAGTTGTCTGTCTTTCCAAGATTTAATAGTTGTCTATCTTTCAAACATTTAATAGTTGTCTATCTTTCCAAGATTTAATAGTTGTCTATCTTTTAAACATTTAGTAGTTGTCTATCTTTCAAACATTTAGTAGTTGTCTGTCTTTCTAACATTTAGTAGTTGTCTGTCTTTCCAAGAATTTAACAGTTGTCTGTCTTTCCAAGATTTAATAGTTGTCTGTCTTTCCAAGATTTAATAGTTGTCTATCTTTCAAACATTTAATAGTTGTCTATCTTTCAAACATTTAATAGTTGTCTATCTTTCTAGCATTTCATAGTTGTCTGTCTTTCCACGATTTAATAGTTTTCTATCTTTCCAAGATTTAATAGTTGTTTATCTTTCTATAGTTTAGTAGTTGTCTGTCTTTCACAGATTTGGTAGTTGTTTATCTTTCTATAGTTTAGTAGTTGTCTGTCTTTCACAGATTTGGTAGTTGTTTTTCTCTCTAGCATTTAGTAGCTGTTTATCTTTTTAAGATTTAATAGTTATTTATCATTCTTAGATTTTGTTGGTGAATAGACCTTTTATCCTTTATTAGCCTTGTACACATTTTCCTAGAAGTTTAAATATTCGTCACGTTTTTCACTTTTAAAAATTAGTCCGTGCTTGATTGTATGTTAAGTTTACTAAAAACAACACAGTTTCAATGATGTCCAAGTTTGCAACTAAAGCTCTTTCAATCCAACAGCAAAAGAATTTAAAATCGTTATGTCATGTAACAAATGGTACGAGCATACACAAATATATTAAAAATAAAGTTTAGTTTTGGTTTATGTACGTTCAATAGTTGTGTTTTCTTTAACAAAAGACCTGTAGCTACATTTTATTGTTTGACCTGTGTCTACACTTTACACTTAAGAAAATGCTTGCTTTGATTTTTCAGCACGTCACCTATACCAGAATTAAACAAGCTATTTTTTCGTTGTGGATCGTCGTTCTGTTACTTGTTTGTTTGCCCTTTCTGGGTTTTGGAGTCTATTACGACAGTGACGCTTCAGATAAAAGATTCATGTGTATCCGCTACCGCTTCGCTACAAAATCAAAGGACAAAGTTTATGCCTATCTTATGTTTGTGTTCGGGCTCCTACTCTGCCTTGTAATCGTGTACTGCAACCTTGCCGTAGTACGGGTCCTCTGTAGAATGGGAAAGAAATGCATGGCTCGAATGGGAAGGACAACCATACGAAAAGACAGCAGAGAACTTTCCTACAACCATACCACCCCCGAGGAGATTTCGTTTGCTAAATTTATGGTAGTCCTGTGTGTTTTCTTTGTAGTCTGTTGGGTCCCACAACTGGTAAGTCATCGTCGTAGGTACAGTATGTTTTACTATATCTCCATTTTCCCAAAGTTATTAAGATGATAAATACTTTTAGAAAATACTTATATTACATAAATAGCATTTCGTATGACTCGTGAAATCATCAAATTTATTTCAAACCTTCATTGACATGAGACGCAGAGAAATTAACTGCATATCTTCAATCACAAAATCTTACAGAATCTTCCTTTGAATTCACATCTTCATTAGAGCTACTAATATAAAATCTTTCATTGATTACACATCTGTATCACACTGGAGTTATCAAGACAGAATCTTTCATTCATTACACATCTGTATCACACTGGAGTTATCAAGACCGAATCTTTCATTCATTACACATCTGTATCACACTGGAGTTATCAAGACAGAATCTTTCATTCATTACACATCTGTATCACACTGGAGTTATCAAGACCGAATATTTCATTCATTACACATTTGTATCACACTGGAGTTACCAAGACCGTATATTTCATTCATTACACATTTGTATCACACTGGAGTTACCAAGACCGAATCTTACATTCATTACACATTTGTATCACACTGGAGTTACCAAGACCGAATATTTCATTCATTACACATTTGTATCACACTGGAGTTATCAAGACCGAATCTTTCATTCATTACACATCTGTATCACACTGGAGTTATCACGACCGAATCTTTCATTCATTACACATCTGTATCACACTGGATTTATCAAGACAGAATCTTTCATTCATTACACATCTGTATCACACTGGATTTATCAAGACAGAATCTTTCATTCATTACACATCTGTATCACACTGGATTTATCAAGACCGAATCTTTCATTCATTACACACTCTTCGCCACACCACAGGTACATACAAAAATTCTTCATTACTATATTACTTTAGTATTGTATGTTACCCTCCTTCTCACCTAGATTGTTTTTATAATGCTATATTCTCTACTTTTTTTGTTTCGTAAATAACATTGTAGTAAATTGATATCAACTTTAATGTTGTGAAAATAATAATATTACTGGGAGATTGATTTGAAGGCCTTGTTTCTCTTTTAGCAAATCATCACTGTGTGTTTTTACTTTACAGATGAAATATCAGTAACTCACTAACAAGGCAGTTAATATTATATAGGATTTGGCTATGCCAAATGTAATTGATTAATTACAATGAAAAATACCGTCTGATTTTCTTGTTTACATTATCATTATTATTAAAACTTATTTATTACATGGTATAAAACAATATTTAATCAATAGGATTTGGATTTTGGATTTTTGTACTATGATTGTCTGTCTCTAATTGTGTTATTACAAGAGGTCAAGTAGTTAATCAGCAGCACACTACTACACATAATACACACCAAGTCATTCTTATAATGCAGAAACAGCTTAAGATTCCAGGTATATTTTTTTGTATCACCAAATTCGAAAATAGCTCACCAGCTCTGAAATCAAGAGCTGTACGTCAAAGCTAGTTCGCGCCCTTTACCGATAGGACTTTTTATATTGACTGTAAATTGTTGACCTTTTTACGAATAATTTTTCTATTACTCAGACTCATCCCTACACTATCAAGTTTAATTTCAAACATATCAGACGCAGCATCTCAACCTTAACGGTAATGACAATCGTTCTAAGCCTTAATACTAAATATAACAGTTATGCCCATCATTAACCTCTGAAAAAAATGTACGATCTACACAGACAAAAACAAACTACATCCTGACTGTATAAAACTCTACTTCAAATATAACTGCTGTTGATCCTTAATAGTCCGACTGTATAAAACTCTATTTCAAATATAACTGTTGTTGATCCTTAATAGTCCGACTGTATAAAACTCTATTTCAAATATAACTGTTGTTGATCCTTAACAGCCCGACTGTATAAAACTCTACTTCAAATATAACTGTTGTTGATTCTTAATAGTCCGACTGTATAAAACTCGACTTCAAATATAACTGTTGTTGATCCTTAACAGCCCGACTGTATAAAACTCTACTTCAAATATAACTGTTGTTGATTCTTAATAGTCCGACTGTATAAAACTCTACTTCAAATATAATTGTTGTTGATCCTTAATAGTCCGACTGTATAAAACTCCACTTTGAAAATAATAATATTGCTGATCCTTAACGGTCAAACTCTATAAATATCCACTTTAAAAATAGAATACAATATGTGTAGCATTGGTGCTACTCCTCCGAATTTGTCGGTAGAACTTACATATAACATACATTTCACCACAACTTCATGAGTTTTATCTTTTTTTCCGATATTATTTTGTCTTGAGTTATAGATGAAAGGTGAAATTCTACGAATCCGTCAGAACTTGGTAAAGTGGTAAATTGAGTGATAGGTTAGACTTCAGAACTTGGTAAAGTGGTAAATTGAGTGATAGGTTAGACTTCCTATTTACTTTTATTTTAAGATAATATTATTACTGATTCATACCAACTCATTTAACAGTATCATTTCTGACTGTATAATCTACCCTTTAAAGATAGTATTATCACTGATCCAGAGACACCTGATGTGTAAAACTACTCTTTAAAGGTATTACTGGTCAAAATTATCTTGGTGTATAAAACTACATTTTAATCTGATCCAGATTAACCTCAGGTATAAAACTAAACTTTAAAGGTATTACTGATCAAAATTATCTTGGTGTATAAAACTACATTTTAATCTGATCCAGATTAACCTCAGGTATAAAACTAAACTTTAAAGGTAACTCTATTACTGATCCAGATTAACCTCATGTATAGAAATACACTTTTAAACGATAACACTATAATTTATCCGGATTATCTTGGTGTATAAAACTATACTTTAAATATAACAATATTACTGATCCAGTTTAACCTGATGTATAAAACTGCATTTTAAAGATAACAATATTACTGATCCAGATTAACCTCATGTATAAAAATACACTTTTAAACGATAACACTATAATTGATCCTGATTATCTTGGTGTATAAAACTATACTTTAAACGATAACACTATAACTGATCCAGATTATCTTGGTGTATAAAACTGCATTTTAAAGCCAACAGTGTTACTGATCCAGATTATTTTGGTGTATAAAATTGTATTTTAAAGATAACACTATTACTCATCCATATGAACCTGGTGTATGAAACTACACTTTAAATGCAACAATATTACTGATCCAGATTAACCTCATGTATAAAACTACATTTTAAAGATAACAATATTGCTGATCCAGATTAACCAGAAGTATAAAACGACATTTTAAAGATAATAGTATTACTGATGTAGGTTAACCTGGTGTACAAGAATACACTTTAAACGATAACAGTATTACTGATCCAGATTATTTTGGTGTATAAAACTGTATTTTAAAGATAACACTATTACTGATCCAGGTTAACCTGGTGTATGAAACTACACTTTAAGTGTAACAATATTACTGATCCAGACTAACCTCGTGTATAAAACTACATTTTAAAGATAACAGTATTATTGACCCAGATTAATCTCATGTATAAAACTACACTTTAGACGATAACAGTATTACTAATTCAGATTATTTTGGTGTATAAACTACATTTTAAAGATAATAGTATTACAGATGTAGATTAACCTGGTGTATAAAACTACATTTTAAATATAACAGTATGACTGATCCAGATTAATATCATGTATAAAACGAAACTTTAATCGCTAACAGTATTGCTGATCCAGATTAAACTCATGTATAAAACTACACTTTAAACGAAAGCAGTATTATTGATCCAGATTAACCTCATGTATAAAATTACACTTTAAAGGTAAAATATTACTGATCCAGATTAACCTGGAGAATAAAACTATACTTTAAAGGTAACAATATTATTGATCCAGATTAACCTGGAGTATTAAACTACATTTTAAAGATAACAGTATTACTGATCCAGATTAACCTCATGTATAAAACTACACTTTAAAGGTAATAATATTACTGATACAGATTAACTGGTGTATAAAACTACACTTTAAATTATAACAGTATTATTGGTCCAGATTACTCTCATGTATAAAACTACATTTTAAAGAAAACGGTATTACTGAAGTAGATTAACCTGGTGTATAAAACTACATTTTAAAGAAAACAGTATTATTGGTCCAGATTACTCTCATGTATAAAACTACATTTTAAAGATAACAGTATTACTGATATACATGTATATTAACCTCGTGTACAAAACTACATTTAAAAATAACAGTATTACCGATCCAGTATATCCTCATTTATAAAACTACACTTTAAATATAACAATATTACTGATCCAGATTAACGTAATGTATAAAACTACATTTTAAAGATAACATTATTACTTATCCAGATTAACCTCATGTATAAAACTACATTTTAAAGATAACATTATTACTTATCCAGATTAACCTCATGTATAAAACTACATTTTAAAGATAACAGTATTCACTGATCCAAAATACTTTTTATACGTCTGGATGAAACTCATCTATTATGCCTTAGAATTAAACATATATATAGTTCTACGCATATTACATAAGAAGTCTATTTATTTAGATTATTTCTACGACCTAATTATTATTATCATTATTGTAGATAACAATCCCGTTGGCCCAGATAAATCCCATTATTCAAGATCGAAAATTTTTTAGACTTGCTGATATTGGAATAGCATTAAACTTTACTCTCGACCCCATCGTGTACGTTCTGTCCAGAAAACCTCACAGAAAGGGCCTCCGAACATTACTGAAGCCTCTGTGCAAGTTTTGTTGGCCTCAGAGCGATCGGTCATCTTCTGAAGGTATGTATGCTTCTGTCAGGTTTCGAAATGTCTGATATAATAAACCTTCGTGTACACACCACCTACATTCTGTAAGGGTTGGAAATGTTTGATATCATAAACCTTCCTGTACACAGCACCAGCTTTCCGCAAGGGTTGAAAACGTTTTGGGACGAACTAAATAAAACGCCGCTACAATCAGGGTCAAACAAAAGACAACTTATTAAAATATAACAAAATAAAACTTTCATACAACTAGTAGACAAATTTTATCAATTTGTAAAAACAATTAGTAAACCCGTATCTGGCAGGACTAGGTACAAATGTTAATAAATCTCAATGTTATTAATTTAAATAAATATCAAAGGAATTGGGAAAAAGAACAGAAGAAGATAAAACTTAATTTACCAGAGAATAACACAATGTTCCAAAATCAAATCACTTCTCAAGATCAATAACAATATCGAACAATAATTAACAATACATAGTTTTAACTGTATCTCGTGAACTAACTCGTTTTCAAGATGAAGGAATGTCTTTTATTTAGTGGTTAGACCAGTTATTACCATAAATCTAGAAAATCTGTACGTTACCACCAGGGAAAGTTTATTTGTTTGAAGTTAACCACAAAGCTACACAATTAGCTATCTGTGCTCTGCCTACCACAGTTATCGGACAAACCGCGGTGCCACTAGGGGGCACCAAAGAAAGCTTGTGTCAGTTTCCTAATATATACATACTCAAACTCAACGTGCTCCAGATAGGAGGTGAGTTGACCTAAACGATAAACGGAATAATAAATGAACGGAAAACAAACCATAACTAAATAGAAGTAAAATTCGCTATCTCACAAGTTGATATAGTGAAAAGCTGCCTATATGCTGCTTCTGCCTCCTGTAGGAAATGTCTGATGTATTGAAAACTGCCTATATACTATTCCTCCCTATTACCAGATTTAGAAATGTTTTTTTGTTTTTTGTATTGAAAAAGCCTCCTATACACCGCTACTGCCTTTTGCTAGATTTATAAATGTTTGTTGTATTTAAAATTTTCCCATACTCTGCTACTGCCTTTTGCTAGATCTAGAAATGTTTGTTTTATCAAAAATATTCCTATACACTGCTACTGCTTTTTGCTAAATTCAGAAATATGTTTATCTTAAATCTTCCTATATTGCTCCTGCTTTTGTGTTACTTACGAATTTCATACTTTACATTTTATAATCAGTTTTTATTTGGTTTAAAACTTTATCATTTAAATTAGGACAAAGTGATGTGCTGCACAATAGTTTGTATGCAGGATTGAGGAGCTGATGTTCCATGGTTCATGTCCCGTTATCTTTCAGCCTAACAAAATCTCTCTCCGCATTTTGGGACCTTATAGGAGTAACAGTTAAATCATATTATTGGTTCTGACAGGACATGCCAAAGAGTTGAAAGAGAGTGTTGTCTTCCCTCCAGTCTATCACCTCAAAATTAGGAACGACTAGAGCAGAAGGCGTCCATGTAGCTTTCCGCAAGACCCAACAAGCAAATAATTACTATGATTCATATTACTTTAGTTTATGAATAAAACCAAGCTTTTAATTTAGCATTTTTATGTTTTGTTATCCATTTTTCCTAGTGTCGGCTGCACCCTACAAGCCTATCTTCGAGTCTTGTACTCCAGGGTATGTGATTCATTTTACTAATTTTGCTTGTTTCTTTTATAACGGTTTGTAGTCAGACACCAATAAATACTGTAAAATGGTCAATGTAATTACTGATAAATACTGTAAACTGACCTACGCAATTACCAATAACTACATTGAACTGATCAATGTAATTACTGATAAATACTGTAAACTGACTTACACAATTACCAATAAATACTGTAAACTGACCAATTTAATAACTAATAAATCCTGAAAATTGATCAATATAATTATTGATGAATATTGTAAACTGACCAATGTAATAACTAATAAATACTGTAAATTGGTAAATTGATCAATATAATTACTGATAAATACTGTAAACTGACCATGCAAGTACTGATAAATACTGTAAATTGATCAATGTAATTACAAATAGATGATGTAAATGACCAATGTAATTACTAATAGATAATGTAAAATAATCAAGTAATTACTAATAAATATTGTGAACGTAGTCACTATAAATTGTTGATTATTTAATAAATATATGAATGTGAAGTTCAGAAATAGTAAAACTAACTAAATCATACACTGATTCCTGAATAAATGATTAATAAGCTCATTATTTCATTCTAACCTAAGTCAATTTTATATATGATTCAAACTGTTTTTTTTTTTTTTTTTAGTTTAGTAATAATACTTTCGTTCATTAAGTACCGACT